GAAATGGTGAAGCAAGAGCCCACCCAAGCCTGAGGGTCACAACTGTAGTCACTGTGTGGGCAGCGGCTCTCCCTTCTCCCCCCAGCCCTCCAAGCAGACACACTTGTTAGTAGAAATCTCCCTCTGACAGGCACCCATTAGTCTTTGTTCAAAAACTAACTGCTGTAGCACTTGGGCACCGCTAGAATGTAAATGAAATTACACACCGTGCCCTGCACAGCACAACCAGTGAAACCCTAATTTCTTAAGAATTCACACCCTATTTCCATTATGCTTTAGGCTTCATGGCCCCTAGAGTAAGCCCAGCTCTTCCCACATCCCAGCAGAAGTCCTGCCTTTTCTGTATCCGGTGCTCCTATGACCTAGATGGAGGGAGGGCAGTGTTGAGTCCCCCCTTCCTTCTCTGCCTGCTGCTTTCCAAAGCTCACACAGGAGCGCAGGGCTGTGATTCAGCTCACCCTGCTTCAGCATTGCCTAGCAGAGCTGTGCCTGCCTGGGTGCAACCCCCCTGGCTCCAGGCGGATGAGCACCCCCTGAGGAGGCAGCTGCAGCCCAGGCTCCCCAGACAGGAGCTCTGCTGGCAGAGGAGTATGGAGTGGCCAAAAGGTGGGTAGATGCTCCCTCTGCATCCCTGACACCTCTGCGCTCTTTGTCACGCTTGGCTGAAGGTGGGCAGAGAGTTGAAAAGCTGCTGGGGAAGATGCCAGGCAGACAGGTCTTGGTCCTTCGCAGAGTCTTTCTAGCCCTGGTTTTTGGGGTTTTTTTTCCAATTTCTGTTGGATGGAAAATCTGCATGGGCAGAATTCAACCCATGGATACAAGTGGCAAGGCCTCATCACAGGCAAAGGATAACTCATGTGAGATGCTGTTTGTTGTGGTCATGCTGATCCACATTTCACAGAAGCCAGTGTAAAACACAGCTCTGTAGTTCCCTCTTCCTTGCAGTTATATGGCAAACACTGGAGCAAAAATACTGCTCCAAATACTGGGTCCAGTCCTGTTCAACATCTTCATTAATGATCAGGTTGTGGAGTCTCCCTCCTGGGAGATACGCAAAAGCCATCTGGACACGGTCCTAGGCAACCGGCTCTCAGTGCTTGAGCAGGGGGGTTGGGCCAGATGACCTCCAGTGGTCCCTTCCAACCTCAGCCACTCTGTGACCCCATGATTTGAGGCATTGCCTTGCCCTCAACCCCCCAGCTGCTGCTTTACTGACAGCCATGAACTTGCACATTAGCAGAAGAAGCAAGAAAGTGCTCCCCCAGGGACTCTGTAAAAGGGCTTTGTTCCAGCAGGATGTCTTCAGTAAATCTGTATTTTATGTATGCTAATTGTTTGGCTATGGCCAAAAGAATTTACTAACCCCTTCCCTGAGCCAGGCCATCATTTCTTTTTCCAGCAGCATTGGTTTTGCCTACCCAATGCATTACTTAAGCTCTGAGGTAGCTACCGCCTGCAGGAACGGCACCATCCTATCCTGAGTGGCACGGTGCCACCAGCAGCACTTCTCAGATGCTGTACATTTGAGTCCAGCAGCCATAAGCTTTGGGATGTGTCTCCATCTGCCCCCAGCCACCCCTTCCTGATCCTCCCGACAAGTTGCACTTTGGAGCAGACTGATGCCAAGGCATTGGGGTGCGGGTGTGGGTTTAAACGAGCACGTTGGTTAGTGGGGGCTGCTTGGCCCCACAGGGATGCCAGCAGGAGGAGTAAGCCCTTTGGCTGCAGTGTTATTCTTTTCCCAACAAAAGGCAAGAAATTCCCAGGGTAATGCTTTAGAGCAGAAGTTATCAAATAGGTCTTTAGGTATATAAAGGGATAACTTAAACTATGTGTTTATTTAAAAATGGATTGAGGAAATTTGGGGTTGGTGTTGTAAAATATATAAACCTCAAGAAATGAACATAGAAGCAGGAAATCTGGTTAGCCGCACTCACAATGGGGAGAACCACTGTAAAACTGCCCCTATTTTGGAGGCTCCATCCTGCCCTGATGTTATCACGCGCTCCCTTACCCCTGCGGACGCGCTGCCTGCAGATCAGCCCGTGTTTGTCTGGTGCTGGAGCTGTGATTTTCCTCTCCCATGTCACTTGCTGTGCTCTAGTACCCAGCTGGCACCTTGCAGCATATCCAACATCATCTTGACCCCCCCTCCCAATCTTCTTGACCCCCCCCTCCCAATCTTCTTCTCCCCAAGCATTTTACACGGGGTCATTGTTGCTCATCCACAGTTACACATTGCTGCTCTCCCAGAGCCTTCCTGCCATGCTTCTCCCAGGACCTCCATCCTCTTCACAGCCTTTCCCTCCCCACTGCCACCTCTGCCAGGCCGACAGAGCCCATAACACAAAACACTTTGCCACACTCCATCAGGTGGAAAAGCAGCCACTGAGTCCTGGTCACAGGGAAAAGAAACCTCCTCGGGTTTACACACCTACAGCAATGGGGCTGCAGACCTCAGGGCCCAGGCCCTCACTGGCTCGTGTTAAAACGCACGGGGCCTGAGAGATCCCAAGTAGTGTGCTCCTCTTTCACCATGGGCAGGTTGTGGAGCTGAGCTGTTTGGGGCAGTTTTGACAGCAGAAGCACGTTGTAAGAGGACACGGGTGGGTGTTTAACATGGCACTCTCCTCCCAGGTGATGGGCTGATGGGGGCTGGTTGCGGGGCCAAGCAGTGCCAGCTGCACACCCTGCTCTCTTCCAGCATCACAGGCAACACTGCTGGCGAGCAGTCGCTCCTGGGCTGCTTCCACCAGCGCATGCTCACCTGCTTGGCCGCAGCTGCACAGGGGGCTCTTGCCAAACAGCACTGGGGAGGCGGGGGGGTGGGGTGGTGTTCGTGCTGACTACAACAAACACTGGTTTTACATCTCCCAGACAGGGTCAACTATCCCCATGGGGTGCTTGAAAAGCTGGAATTTGCCAGCTGTTTTCTTTGGACACTGGTGTGTTGTATCTGAACAGAAACTGAGGCATGCTCTTGGACCAGGCACATCCACTGGTCTGCTGCGCCAAGAAAACTTTGCCCACTGCTAGGACCTCTGCCTGCTTTACAAACAGAAAGGCTGTTTGCCCTGATCTGTGGCCCCCTGGAGAAGAGAAGGAAGGCAGCTCGCCCAGGGTCATGGGGAGAGCTGGGGCAGGGTGATTTCCCAGGCTCCAACCTGATGGCTTCATTTCCATCCCTCCCCTCTGAGGCTCTCCAGCAGGACCCCACCAGCTTTGAGCAGGGGAATAAACCACACAGCATAAAATCCCAGCACCTGAGGCAAGTGATAGACCTCACCCAAGGAGCAATCTTACAGGCCAGAGAGAATATACTCAAAATAACGGATGCTGTACAGAGTGCCCATGAGGTGTTTAGCACATGGAGGCTGCGCACAGGACCCGGGGCTGCTTTCACAGAGACTCAGCTGCGGAGCAGTTCCTGGGAGCAGCCAGTGGCTTTGAACCCTTCTGGGATGTCGCTGTCCAGTTTGGAAATTATTTTGTAAATGGGTTTCTTCCAGGAGGGGTCGGCATCCTTGCCCACCCTGACGGCGCTGAAGAACTCCCGCAGCGTCAGGCTGGCCACCTCCAGGAACCGCCCTGGCACCTGTGGCGAGACAGCCGTCAGCCCACAGCACCACGGGGTCCCCAGCTCCCCCTCACCTCAGCAAACCCCATCACCCCGTCACCCCTGCCCCCTGGCTCCCCCTCCTCACCTCAAAGTCGTTCCCCTTGTTATAGTGCATGTTGAGGGCACGGAAAAGCTCCGAGTCCCGGGAGACCCGGAGGGTGCTGGCATCCACAACGCCCTCCAGCAGGGCCTGCCGGGCAAACTTCTCCACCTGGATGTAGTAAAACTCGCGGAAGTTGCTGAACCACTTGATGAGCTGGGAGGTGATGCAGCGGCTGAACTGCCGGGGGGGAGAGCCAGAGGACAGGCATTACACCAGCTTGGAGCCTCCCAACCCCTGAGGCCCCGCAAGCCCAGCCATACACCTCTGGCCTGGCCCCAAACCCAGCCCTGCCCCAGGGGTGCAAAAGCACCAGCCAGGATGGTGACATGGGGGTGTCCATGGTGCCTCTCCCTGCCGAGATTTGGATGCCAGCTGCCCTGCAGTGGGGAGGCACATTCATGATGTGCTTTAATCCCAACACCTTGATTGCATAGAGCGAAGACCTGGCAGCCGAGGTTTGCCACAGCCCTGAGCACCCACTCCAGGGCAGCCCATGCTGAAGTGGGTGCCACCCCCCTGCTCCTGTCAGCGAGGCGGGAGGACATGAGAGCATCCCCTTCCCCACGGTTCCCCAGCGAGGCAGGCTGGGTGCCATGCCATACAGGGAGCCCTGCCTGGCACCAGCACCAGGTGCTGCCATTTTACCTGCACGTCGACGAAGTAGGTCTTCAGCAGAGTGGAGCTGGGGTAGCGGGTGAAGAAAAACATCAGCTTGGCCTTCTTCAGGTGCCCGGGGGTCAGTGCCTCCTGCATCTGCCTCGGGGTCAAGGAAAACCTGCACGCAGGAGCCCGACCGGCTCAGCACATCCCAAAGCACTGGCCCTGGCATGCACATGCCTGGTGCCCACAACAACCCCTCCCCATGGCCTGGCAGCAGGGTGGAGGGGGCTC